GAATCAGACAGTTGGGGACTGCACACTTCCCTCCCAAGTTTTAAACAAATCACTGAATCACTAAGGTTGGAAAAGACCTCCAAGATCATAAAGTCCAACCCTCAACCCAACACCACCATGCCCACTAAACCACATCCATGTCTAGACATTTTCTGAACATCTCCAGGGACGGGGACTCCATCACTTCCCTGGGCAGCCTGTACAGTAAGTTCAGTTAGTACATCTCTTTGTATTGCTTCGTTTAGGGCTGGGGGGTATTTTTAGTCAGTCAAAAACAATTGCGAAGTGGAAATTAGGAAAAGACTTGTGAATTCAAGTTACAAAGAATTAGAAATATTTACCTTGTTTCAAAATAATATCACACTTTGGTAGTTGGCTAAACTATTTTGTTTTAAAATCAATTACATTAATTGGATGTTTCAGTCAATGTTCCTTTTGTTTTGTTTTAATCCAGCAGGTGTTTTGCTGAGGTACTTACAAACTTCCATCCCTTGTGTCGATTCGTGGATTGATACCACCAGGTGGACAAGTGCTGAAATTGCAATTTCAGAACAGTGTTACATTTTAATAGGAGATTCATTCCAGTAATAAAAAAGCACCTCTTGAACCAGCTTTGCTGGTTGGTGGAACCTGGAGAGTGAAGACCTCTCCTGACCTAAGAACAGCAGTAACAAAACCCTGCAACATCATTTCTTGGGCTTTTGAATGTTACCCCCCTGATCTGACCAGTCAGGACATTTCATCAGTTTGGTACTTTTTCATTACTGGAATTAAAGATCTCTGCTAAAAAACAGTAACTATGAAAAATATGGATGTTTTAAGTAATCCTAAAACCTTACACATTTGCATGGTAGCTCCATTAATGTTCCAGTATTTCCAAGTATTTCAGAACAGAACACACACCAGTTCTAACCCCAACTGCTATGATCTCTAACACCACAGCCAGCACTTGGTGCCCTCCCACATTTCAGGATTTCTATAGCTGGTAACTACCTTACCTGGACAGCAAAGCAGCAGACACAAAACAGCCCCTGGAAATCCCATCTTGCTGTAACAACACCAGGGACTAGAATAAAAACCGTGGTATGCAAGAACTCTGAACATACATGCCAGTATATATATATAAAAAAATTAACTGTATTGAACACTGCCACCTAAGAGTCCAGACATCACTGGCTTCAATTTGTATGAAAAGAAACAAGTTGTTTCTTGTTTAAATTTTAGAACTTCACTCAATAACCATTTCACCACTTCAAAATAGAATCTGAACTACTAAATGCTCATGACCTGTACCAACGATCACAGTAAAACAGCACTGAGGACGGAGCAGCTGTTTTACTTTGTGCACGTGGAGGCTGACAATCTTAACACAAAACCTCTCCAGAGCTCCAGCTGGCATCTAAAATACAACCCAAACAAGACTTTTGGAGGGTTCTCCTCAAATTCAGGAGGTAAAGACTTTGTTACATCCAATTTTATTTTTACAAAAACGCTGTAGCACACATGCCAATAGGAAAACTGGTTCTTTGTCTTAAACCACGTCAGTCCTTTTTCTGTTGAGCAGCCTGCTTGGCATTGTTGGCCTGCATCTTCTTCAGCCCCTTTTTGTTGTGTTTCTTTGCAAATCTCATGTTCCTCAGAAACTTGGGATCTACCTGAAAAGGGAAAAAATAAGCCATATTGTAGAAGGGACATATATAAAACCATATATATCTCCAGATTGTTTCAATTATTCCCAAATGCTGGATCTGATCTTTTTTCTAAGTTATTACACCAACAAAATAATTTTAGCCATCTGTAACCATCCTTTAACTAGCTGTTTTCCTTAATTTCCATAAACAAACAAACCCAAAACCCCAGCAATAAACATACAGAAAGAATAGAACAAGTTAAGTAAAGCTGTAAAAGACGAATTTCATTTCCACGTATGACACAATACATTCTGAATTTGAAGTACCACAAACCAACGTTGGCAGGTGAGCACATACACATGTAATCCTTGGGGAAAGACCAACACCACTTCCTCAGGCCTCTCCTTTTTACATTAAAGGGAAAAAATACCAGCACAGACAAAAGCAGCTTCCCAGTTTTTGTCAACTAATGGCTGGTGAAGGCATCCTGTCATGGCCAGGACCAACTCTCAGCTACTGTCCCACTGAGAAACATTTGCTGTTTTGCTGGAAACAGCATTTTAACCAGCACACATGAGTCTCAGGATTTTGTCATCTTAACTCATGTGCACTCGGTGCGAGGAGATGGGCTCAGAAACTGCTGGACTACCTGCAGGAGGGGGCAGGACTAAACCCTCACTGAGCTATGCAGAACACAAGCTTTTATGTCACATCCAAAAACCCGATAATCACATCTACAAAACAAACAGAATCACAACCCTCCCCAAAGCCAAAATGTCCTGTTTTCACTTTCAAGTGTGGAAAAAGATCCTGTTATATCCCTTATCTAATCTCAGAAAAAGTAAAATGCTGTAATTTTCATAGGTATTGTCCAGAAATGCCAATTCCTCTCATCTTCTGAGTGACATTTTACATTAATACAGATAGTAAAATAATATTGAAGAGTATAGAGAGGTACAACCCACCACAGTACTCAAAAGGGAGAAGAGCTATCCAGCTGAAACATGCCTGCTCCCCTGGAAGCAGCAGTGAGTGACACTCACCTGAGCAGGACAGACAAAATTGGCCAATAACAAAAAAGCAGATTTACAGACATACAAAGATGAATTTCATGTGGGTTACAAATATCACAGCTGCACATAAGGTAAGCAAAAGATAAAACAGAAACCTACAGTGCTTCTGACCATCTGAAACACAAGCCTCTGTCTGCAAAAAATATATCAGTCAAAATCATATAAATACTGATTTTCTTCATGGTTAAGCCTCATGGCTTAACAGCCTGGGAATATTAACAGAAGTACTCACCCCTTTGAGAGATTCGTATCTATGGGATCTGGGTTTCTTGATGCCATTTCTGTGCCACTTACGGGCTATGCAGAAAACAAGAAAACAATTTAAATTACCATTTCTGCTATTATTAAATAGCTAACATATTATTAAAGGAAGCTACATTATCTTCAAGTCCAGCTGACACCATCAAAACGATGTGCAACAGAACATTTTCTAACCCTTCCCATCCAAACTAAATGCAAATTAAGAATGCACCTCTGTTCTCATCCCTCTGCACTCCGTGCTCTTCACACTGTATAGGTTTCTAACCCAAGGATTTTAGGCTCTTTATTAACTAGTAACATACCAACAGCAACAACAGTTAACATAATAAAACGCCTCAGTCATTAAGAAGTTCGAACACTTGTGTTTAATGGGCTCCACTGTTCACTGTGCAAGACCAAGCAGAACCTACCCGTGAACTGTTAATTCACAGCATTGATGAAAATACCCTAAACAAGAACTATTTTATCTCTGGAGTCATCTTCGGATGACAAAGCATCCCAGGTTGAATACCACTCAGTAACACAAACATTTGAAACTTGCTTTTTTGTTTTTACATTGAGCCCAAACAAACCCCGACTCTCACAGAGGCCTCTTTCTGCCGAGCCCACCGTTCAGTCTCTGCTCACCGCCATCTCCTTCCCTTCCGAACTTATCTTATCTTGCTGCAAACACAGGCAGCCCGGGCTGCTGTAAACCAGCGGCCGGCAGCAGCGGGTTCAGGCCCCTCTGTGGAGCGCAGCCCTGGGGCAGCTCAAGCGAGAACACCCCTCCCGGCCTCCCCGCAGCCGCGGGCCGCCCAGCCCCCCCCGCCCCCCCCGCAGCCGCGGGCCGCCCAGCCCCGCTTACACTGGTTGTGCGTGGTGTGGTTCTTGGACTTGGCCATGGTCGCACCTGCGGGAGAAGGAGACACCCGTCAGTCGGGAGAGCCGGCGAGGCACGGCCCGGCCCTCCGCCCAAA